CTACTGAATTTCAAGTTATGCAACTTTTAAAAACCGAAAAACATATTGGTGAAATTCTGAAATAATAAAATAACCCACGCCACTACAAACCTGCAGATTAAGCAAATATTCGTTGACTTAATTGAATTTTACCTAAATACAGTACTTCCTTGAGAATGGAAATATTTATAATTTACAATTAATTACCTTTATAAATAATATTAGGTTTAACAAGTACTTATGTTTGCTGAAACAGGGAAGTAACTAAGGTTTTAGTGAAATGTTAGTAGCTATTTATAAAATAAATACATTTTCCAAAATGTTATGTGATTTTTTTTAAACAAAATAAAAAAGTTAAATGATTTCACATAAGGATAAAATTATATTCTACTAGCAGAGTACCCGTCCTTCGTACGGGGTTGGCATATAAGTTTAAAATGCTTATTGCAGTTATACTCAGGCCCTACGTTTGCAATGGGGGAGGACAAAGTTTGATAAAATTTGCTTCTTTAAATTGACGGTATACTAATGATATTGCACATCTACCATAGCCATAATGTTCTACCACTTCACCTAAACAATAAAGAAAAATAAATTTTTACGAATTCACAAAAAATTACAAATTATTCATTACATTAAAAACATAAACGTAACTGTAAACAATCCTACTTTGACAGTTCTCATTGCGTGTCACAGATTTTTGTTGCTATTAGTTCAACTTAGCTGTTTACATAAATGCAAAAAAAAAATTATAGTGCTGCACCCTGTTGGTAAATCTTAATGCATTTGTATATCATAGAACCAACTTTTTTAGTTGAAACAGCTGAATAAATTCTTTAATCTTATACTCTAATATGAGCAATGTTTGCTTGTATGTATGTTTGCACAAAGATCTCGAAAACGGCTTCGATGATTTTCTTCAAATGTTGTAAATAGTTTATTTCTTGCCTAAAAACGAGTTTACTGCAGTTAGAACTGCCAACAAAAATCTAATTACGTAGAAAAATTAAACTGAAAGTCATATTTTTTACGTTAGTCTTATGGGTTACTAAGTAACCATGTTGGTTGAATTAAATAACTAGGAAAAAGTAAACAAAAGACTTGCAAGTTAACATGTGTTCATAATAAGCCATCTACCCACAGTATACTAGCAAATTACAAAATACAGTACAAAAGGAAAAACATCACTTTGTTACTATTGAGCAAAGATTATACTGAAGATTACTTCCGGATCCGGCTTTTCATAGAGTAGATATAACTTTATTTTCGAAAAGAATTTTCTTATCAATTGAATTTTCTCCTTGTAATAATTAGCCTGACCAAAGGATTAAGTTTTGTTGTTTTGAATCATTGAATTAGCATATCAATCTAATAATGCTTTTAAGTAGTTTCTCATATATTTGAATTCTAACTTAAACAAATACGTGGAACTTAACAAAATATTTTTCTCCACACATGTATACAACAAGAATTGTTAAAATTTAAATTCTTTGACACAAATGCAAGTTTCATTTCGTTTATTTAATATGTAATGAAAACCGTTGACACAGTTCACATTTTCAAAACCTAATTATTACATTTTGAGTTATAAAGAAATTGTTTACAATCATAACGGTTTTAATGGAAGTCATATTAAGGACGTTTGCGGCAAGGAGATTATGTAGGTTTTAGTCTCACGTTGCCCGCATGATAAACAGATCTGCTAATACTATGGTGATTACCTTCCAAGGACATTTCAACAATATTTCAACAAAACAGCACAAAACAGTGTGCTTTTATTAGGCACGTAATACGTGTAGGCTTGAAAATAAGCTGGCAACACTTAACCATACCGCGATCAGCTGGTGCAGTGTTTCCCATTTCGTTCAACGCTTGGATTTAACCAAGGCCACACTAAACATAGTGTGACCTTGATTTAACCTAACCGTAAACGTGTTGTATAGTGTTTGGAAGACTAACTATTATGTGTATGCTTTATAGTCACTGTAGACAAAATTTACACAAATAACTATTATTTTTTTTGCCTTAAAGTAACATGTTATTTATCGCTCGAGTAATTTCAGTAGATCTATTACTGCTGAGATGGTTGTTTATTACAAATATACTCCTTCAAAGAAGTTAAATTATAAATATCAAATAATTATTTTGTTTCTACTCGACTCAATATAATCATACAATAGATAAAGGAGGGGTATTAATAAAACCCAAGCCATATTTTAACTTCTAGAGTGAACGCGTCCTTAGATAGTGGCAAAATACTAAGTTTTCTATTTACCAGAAAGGATCTGGCTTCATACAATACAATCCTAAATACAATGGAGAGTAAAAGTAGTGATACTATCTTGAACTATCTTAGTACAAATACAAGTTATAGTCTTTAACTATAGGTGCTTCAACTTTTACTGACGTTACACATAAAGTGAACCAATTTAAATACAGTATGCGATTAAACGTAGGAATGTGTCAAAAAGCACTACAGTATGGCTAGCCTATGTGATCAATATAATATATGCAATGCAGCCCGGCCTCGTAGCATATAGTATACTCTAGGGGTGCATGATTGAATATGATTGTCACATATAACACGTTTGACTGTTCTGTTTAAATGTTACGTTGAAACATGTATTAACTATTGGAAGAACAGTTATGAATTCTACCACTCATTACATTCTCATTGTACATTCTAAATCTGATAAGTAGGTTTTCAATATATATTTATTTTGGTGGATATGTCAATAACAAAATTTGTATTTACTATTTATTAATTGAGAATTTATTAATGGTGGCCACTCCAGTAAGTAAGTTAATAATTCCCGTAATAATGAGTGACGTTTGTTGACATTAAAGGTTCACTCATACGTTTGTGTAGAACATTTTATTTTCATCAAATTCAAAACTTATTCTTTTCTTCGATACGATCGCCGATTTTACTTCCACCACATCTAAAAAGGTACATTTATTGATTTCGAACGATAATTATGTTGCTTAATTTGGTCTTGGTTATTAAAGGCGTGTTGAAATTAAAAACTATCCAAATTATTTACTTTATAATTTATTGATTTCAATACTACAGGATTAAGAAGTTTTAGTTATAAAACTTTTAAATCCCTACAAATAATGACTAAACAATTCTTAAGACTTAATCAAATGCATTCAAGACTTTAAAACTTGAATTTTATTTTATTGTTTTAAAAGGGCTGTTTCTGTGTAAAACATAACCACCGATATGTTTCCTAGATGCAAATACAAGTTTGTGTATTCGTATTCTTGAAAGTTATCATTTGAATAACTAGCTTGAGTAAAGGGAGATGGTACAATACATCATCATACCATTAGCCTGCTGCAAACTACCTTCTGTATAAACCAGCTGTTTGGATAAGCTAACAAACTGTGAGCTATGCTTAACTCTTCAATTTGCATTTCTGTAAATTTTTTTTTTATTTAGGGTTCAACTTTACTAAAACTTAAAATAACAATAAAACTGATTTAATATTTCAAACCAAGCGTATCCAAAGATTTTAAAACACAATGGCAAGGCCTAACTGACATTTCTAAGTGTACGGCCACGTGGTCAGGCTGTTGTTATCATACGCAGGAAAATATGGTAATTAGCTAATAATACTTATCATGGCAAAAATTAGTTCGTGATGAAACATTATTAGACAAGCTGAGATTCAGTTCCAAGAAACCAATGTCAATCTACTTTACGTCGTATCCAGTTACTATAATCCTGTACTATAATCAAGTAGTGTCTGCAGAAGTTTTATTTTCTGGTAAATTTGAGAATGTGAAGTACTATTGTCGTGTACATAGGCTTTTACAATCTTCCTAGTAACGTTTTTGAGGCGAACTCATCAACAACCTCCACATATAAGATACCCATTTGTATATTTTTATGTCCAATGTGTTAATTTGACTTTTTTAATCCAACAAATGATCATTCCTTTGTTGATAAGATGATTTCAAGCGCATGACTAAGTTCTGGGTTTTCCTTTATTTTGAGCACACGACAATGTTCAAAGTGTTAATATAATCTAAAAATACGGAATGTAACCATACGGAAGCTTAGATAAAAATGCAATTCATTATTACAAATCATACTCTAATTTGACGACGGTTAAAATCCTAAGTGAGTCAACCTATCAAAACATCATACAAAACACTGCACTAACAACAAAATATCATTGTGTAACTATTGTTGTTAATTAGGCTTAACAACACATTAAGAAGTGTGAGCATTATTCTTGACTATCTTGTTCTCAAACTTGATTACGTTTAAGATATAAACCCATCTTAAACCAAAAAACCACCAAGTCACCTCGCTGATTACATTGCTTAAGTTTTAACGGGGGGACAACTATGTAAGAATTTAAAAAAAATTTCTTTCTGTATATCAGTTATTCACAACATGTCATTAAAAACTATAAAAATAAACAAACCTTTTTTATGTTATATACTTTTTCTATTTTTTTTTAATATTAACAAAATTTTTTTAAAGTGGTTCTTATGATCGTCATGCCATATTTTTTAACGTAATTGGTGGTTTTAAATTGGTGTATCAAATTAAAATTTCATCAACAACACCATTAATTTTGCTATCTGACATGTAAACAAATTAAGTGAGTAACATTGACACCAATTAGCACACCTATATAAACTGTTCTACTAACTTTTGCGAAAACAACTTTGTCAACCACTCCACTCTCACCATGACTGCATCGGTTTTGGGCACAACTTTCTTACTGGTAAGTAACTATTGTTTATGTAGTATAATTGTATCTACAGTATTAGCATTATAACTTAAATTTATTTTACTGGAGTATGAAAAACCTGACCTTAGAAATGTATTGATATGTTTAAACTGTCGACATTTTTTATATACACTAATAATTTAAATGAATTCAAAAGATTTTGCAAAGGATTTTGGTTTCAAGCTCAGACATATCTGGAGATAACTATATGTGTATTATTATGTGTGTTGATGACCAGTCGAGCATCGTTGTAAATTGTTTTAGGCTACTAAACCTCGAGATGTTTCATTCACTCCAAAAGTGGTGGGTGTTGCGTTCCCCAATCTGCAGGCTCGCGGCGCTTGTATGTTGTCGTGATAGTTTAGTATGAATCTTTTTGACCACTTGTTGACCTTAACTTTTATGTCTTAACAAAAATAATACTTTGATATAGTTATTAAAGTCCCTACTGGTATAAAACCTAATTAGACATACCGTAAGCATACTATATTTTATGCAAAATTAACATTAATTGACGATAACTTAAGACGTACTCTACGGGCATATTGGAAAACGTCTGCAATACAATTTACATACACATAAATTATTAATACCATTGACTATACACTAATAATAATAACTAATAACTAATAATAATAATAACTAGTTCAATAAAGTTAAAGTTTTGACAACGCGATAATTTATATTGGCATTAACCTTTTAAATGGAGAGCTTAGCGTTGTATACCTTTTATTTACAACAAAAATTCGTAATCACTAACAGTAGAGACTTTGACTTTCGTATAAAATATTAAGGTATGGAGGTGTTGTGTTTGTAACCATTATTACATATGCTAATAGAAAATAGTGTTCAATGTTAATAATTCAATACGTTTTTAGATACATTTTTAAAGTTTTTAGATTTTTTTTTTAGTTTGTCCAATAATCGTCTTCATGACCACTACTACTAGGTCTGGCTAGTTTACGTGCGAAGCTTTCCAGCAATCGCCGTTTTCCAACTACGATATGACAGAAATATTAGTTAACGTTTTAAAATCACTAAATGATGAAAAATATTTTGTACCACCCGAGTACCCGTCTTCGTACGGAGTTGGCGTATAAAATGGTAATTGCAGTTATACTCAGGCTTTGCGTTAGCAATGGGAGAGGACACGGTTTAAGTAAATTTTGTTCTTTTAATATAGTATAGCACATCTAACATAATATTCTACCTCTGCACCCAAACATATAAAAAGTAAAGTTAACACAGCTTTGTGTTGGTGCTTGGTTCAAATAAACTGTTGTTATTAGTGCAAAAAGAATTAAATTACTAGTGAAGTAATTCTTTACTGAAGTAATACTTTAGATTTACTGTTGGTAAACCTTATAACTAATGCTATTGAATATAGTAGAAATAACTTCTCGATCAGCATTGTTCGTGTTATTAAATTTACGGGAAGTAAATAAAAGAAACGTCTTATAACACTTAAAACATACGCTAAAAATACTGTTACTCACAAGAAGGTTAATATACAAAAAGGATGGTAAGCGGGGATAGATTTCGATTGGACACTCCAATCATCATCAGACCCAATAGGCGAAAGTAATTCTTCTGTAATATTCAATAACATTTTATAACATGCAATAACATTCTTTGCAATCATCACAAAGTTAAATGTTTCCTACAAAAATAGTCGCACTTCGGCTCATATCATTGTTCATTTTTTGTGGGAATCTTTAAATTATTGGACGTTTTCTTCATCATATAGGTTGTTAAATAAAAATATTAAATTACATTTAAATGAAATCATCATCATCTGGTCTTTACGTGTAAACTAGCTGTTCTAAATTATACGCAGTTTTAACTGACTACTCGATTACCGTTAGTAAGACGGGCTAACACCTCGTCATATATTAAAACGTCAACGTGACAGGGTTTTTTTATTTCACGATTCTGAATGAATTACTTGACGGAATTTCACGATTTTTGTGTTGAAATAAATACAGGGTGATTGATATAAGTGTGCCAACCGTTTTATTCGAAAACCATAAGAGATATCAAAAAAGTTAAATGGTAAGTGCCTTGGACTTTTTATTTAAAAATTTTAGTAAAGTCGAAAAAATTATTTTAGCCGCCATTTTCCAAAATATGGCCGCCAACTTTTTTTTTTCTTATGGAACACCCTGTATTTTATCATGTATTCTGGTAGAAAATGTAATTTTAAGACGATTTTATACTTGTGATTTTTTTTCATAAACCTAACCGTTTCAAAGATAACAATGGTTAAAGTTTTGAAATTTCTGCATGAGAAAGAGCTTCGATAAAGGCCTATGCCAGCTGTTTTATTCGAAAACCATTCAAAATTTTACAACTTAAACCATTATTATCTTTGAAACGGTTAGGTTTATGAAAAAAACTACAAGAATAAAATTGTCTTAAAATTACATTTTCAACCATAATACATCATAAAATACAGGGTGTTCTATAAGAAAAATCAAAGTTGGCGGCCATATTGGAAAAATGGCGGCTAAAATAATTTTTTTGACTTGACTACAATTTTTTTAATAAAAAATCCAAGGCACTTACCATTTAACTTTTTTTGATATCTCTTATAGTTTTAGAATAAAACGGCTGGCACACTTATATCAATCACCCTGTGTGCTAAAGCAATGTCTTTAGACAGCTGAGATTTTCTTAATGTTTTGATTTTTGGTTTCTATGGAAATAATTTGTATTGTAAATAATACTGAAAGAAAGAAAGTTAACAAAACTCAAACTCTTAATTTATTTCAACTTATATTAACTTACACTATACTTTTATAGCAGGTAAACCTATTTACAACTTAAACTAATCCACGGATTCATAATACCCTGTATAATTTTGAGAAGTAGGGAATGTCATTGATTATAGGAAATAAGTAAAATTCTATATCCATTGCTAACCGAATCGATGCTCACGAGCTTTAAAAAAAGCTTATGAAAATTTATTTTGCTACTCAAATTTTTTAGGAAAGGTTGGGAAAATACAATGATCAGATGTTTTAATTTATCTTATCAGCTTTTTCTTTACAATACATTTTGAGCTGCTTAAGCTATGGTTGAATTAGGAATAGAAATATTACATATATTACATATACATATACATATATTACAATATTATATACATTTTTAATGGACTACTCGATTCCCGTACGTAGGACGGGCCGACACTACGTAGTTGCACTACGTGTTGCCACTGGTTAGGGTGTCATTATCATGTTAACGAAACCAATCACGAAAAAACATTTCATCAGCATTGATATAGGTACATATTTTTGGTAAGTGAAACGTAAAGAAACGGAAGCTACCTCTAGGGTTTACTATTATAGATTCTCCCTAACCCACGCATATTAGGCTATATTATTTAAACCTTTTTTTCCTTGGAGCAACAGGCAGTAGGTACGCCTACCTGGTTATAATCTCCAAATAATACGTACTAGTAAACACGTTGCTCGAAATCGAGCAATTGCAAAGAAGTAAAGTAGTTATTTAAAAACAAATAAAAGTCATTATAATTTCCTATGAGTTTAAAAGACTTTGAATTGAAAAATAAATAACAGCAATTAAATTATACAGCTGATCAAAATGTAAACAACTAAGTTCTCCATAAGGATAACATGGGAACTTTCTAAGCCACTGGGGCAGAGCCCAAGGGACTTTTTCAAAAATGTAAGGCCAGTTTGCAAATCTACGCGACACGCTCTTTCCAATGAGACGTCAATGGATAAAATCGGTTAAGAAATGGCGCAGGAGTTCAACCGACAAAGTTTCGTGTAACGTATTAATTATATAGACTAGTAAACACGTTGCTCGAAATCGAGCAATTGCAAAGATAGTAAAGTATCTATTTAAAAACAAATAAAAGTCATCATAACTTCCGATGAGTTTAAAAGACTTTGAATTGAAAAATAAATAACAGCAATTAAATTATACAGCTGATCAAAATGTAAACAACTAAGTTCTCCATAAGGATAACATGGGAACTTTCTAAGCCACTGGGGCAGAGCCCAAGGGGCTTTTTCAAAAATGTAAGGCCAGTTTGCAAATCTACGCGACACGCTCTTTCCAATGAGACGTCAATGGATAAAATCGGTTAAGAAATGGCGCAGGAGTTCAACCGACAAAGTTTCGTGTAGCGTATTAATTATATAGATTGCCTGTACGAACCATATGTATTTCTTTCTAACAACATTTACAGCTTTTACTCAGTTCGTGGCATAAGGACGTGAATCCTCTAATCTATTAACCAACAGATGCGTTCTGTCTGTTTCTTATCTACACCTCTGATAATTTCCTCCAAACAATAACACTAGGTTCAACGTCAACTATGTCCAAGGCTATGGTGTATAAAATAAGAGCATGATCGTTGTGATTTCGAATTTTAAAAATGTCAAGACTTTTTACTATAATCGAACTAAATTCAAAGAGAAAATGATTGAATAAAAATATGGGTTAAGATCATATTAGGCCTACATCTATGTTCAAAATGTTGACTTCTGAGCTCTAGAACAAAAACCAAGTTCAAGTTTACACCCATAGGCCACGTCTTTAATCTAACACTAAACTGTGTCAAATTTGGACAAAAGTCGGCGTTAAAACACCATCGTCAGCTTTAGGTACTTGTAAAGTTGATCAGTTGTAAACATCGTAAACAGATAAAGACCCTCCTATTATACATATATAAGACTAGTAGTTACCCGGCACGCGTTGTGTAATATAATATTAACTAGTGGCTTGTATAGGGACATAAGTCTATGTGTCATTATCTATGTGTCATAATAGATATCGCTGTACGCCATATCTTTTGTGTAAAGAGTTGTTTGCCTTTGTTGATGTTCACTACTTAGGTTTAACCATTTAACTCTGCTAAAGACAGCAAACATATGATTGTTTGTGATTAAATATGCTGGTTTATTTAGGTAGCTTTGGTCTTGTTGTTAATGGTGATAAAAAAAGACTTCCCCGATTGGAATTTT